GCTTCTTAATATGCCACGCAGGCATTAGCCTGTATTAGTTCTTAGAGCTGTCATGACTTGATAGCAGTGGTCTTACGCAGGTTTCACTTTAATTTTTATCGTTATGTGTTTGCTCTGCCGTATGATGTCCCGTAGGAACCAGATATTACTACGGCTTTGGTTATCTGTGATTTCAAAAGGCTGAATACTGCCTACAGAAGGCTGAATACTGCTTGTAGAAGACTTGATACTATTGGCAGAAAACAATTACTGCTTGTACAAGGCTTAATACTACAGGCAGAAGATAACCACTGCTTGCAGAAGACTTAAAATTAAGAGCAGAAGACAAATAATGCTTGCTGAAGAATTAATACTGCAGGCAGAAGACAAATACTGCTTGCTCAAAAGTAAATTTTATTCAAAAAGGCCATATACGAAGAAAAATAAGATTATGTTTTTGTGATTCACGAGTTATAAATCATTTTGTTGTTAAATGCGTAAAATTTGAAATGTTTGGGATTTTCAATCCGCTAGATGCGTAATAGTCATAATTAAGTTCATAATTTTCATCAAAAACATTTAGTTACGAGTTATAATAATAATTTTTTATCCAAAATCTGATTTGGATAAAATTTGGAAGGAAATCGAATAATGAATAATAATCGATAAATAGAAGAAATTACTCAAGGAGGAATTAGTTTAATAACGAATGTTTAACGTAATTGTTTTTAAACGATATTTTTTTAATAATCAGTTTTGATTAAACTGTAATCATCTATTATTTAGACAAATTATTGAGAGATAATTCTGAACCAACGCAACGACATAAAAAAATCTCCAATTAAAAGATAAATATAGCTCCACAACCGTTCGATGCAAAAAAATAAATGTAAAAACTGAATTATTATCTTACAGATCTTACAAGATCTATGATTTTGAAAAAAGGAGATATCATTGCGTTGATTCAAGATAGGATCAATCAAGAGTGCTTTAATTTGATACCAAACACGATATATTTAGGTTAAAAAATAAAAAAGTTAGGTTAGAAACTGTCAAACGTCAAAATTAAATATACCGACTTTTTGATTAATATTGAAATGATCTTAATAAGATTCAAAAATGCTTTAATTTGATACCAAACACGATATATTTGGGTTAAGAAATAAAAAAGTTTGGTTAGAAAGTGTCAAATGTCAAAATTAAATAAAACGATTTTTTGATAAATATTGAAATGAACTTAATAAGAATCAAAAACGCTTTAATTTGATACCAAACACGATATGTTTGTGTCAAATGTCAAAATTAAATGTAACGATTTTTTGATAAATATTGGAATGATCTTAATAAGAATCAAAAGTGCTTTAATTTAATACCAAACTCGATATAATTGGGTTAAAAAATGAAAAAGTTAGGTTAGAAACTGTCAAATGTCAAAATTAAATATAACGATTTTTTGATAAATATTGAAATGATTTTAATAAGAATCAAAAATGCTTTAATTTGATACCAAACACGATATAATTGGGTTATAAAATAAAAAAGTTAGGTTATAAGCTGTCAAATGTCAAAATTAAATATAACGATTTTTTGATAAATATTGAAATGATCTTAATAAGAATCAAAAATGCTTTAATTTGATACCAAACTCGATATAATTGGGTTAAAATATAAAAAAGTTAGGTTATAAGCTGTCAAATGTCAAAATTAAATATAACGATTTTTTGATAAATATTGAAATAATCTTAATAAGAATCAAAAATGCTTTAATTTGATACCAAACACGATATATTTGGTTTAAAAAATGAAAAAGCTAGGTTATATGTAACTGTCAAATGTCAAATAATCGCCATTTTTTTTAATTAAAAATTAAGATATCTCGATAACGGTTGGAGATAAATAGGTCGAGTTTGGGTTCATTTTAAAGGATTTTTAATTCTCTATCCATTTATGTTAAGAAGAGAACACCATTATACCACAAATCTTTTCTGAATTGATGATTATTAAGAAATAAATACGACTTTATTGATTTAAAAATTGATTATGTGAAAAAAAGCAATAAGTTACATGTGACGGATCGGTTAGCTTTGTTTTCAATATTAATAATAGTCAAAATGGCTGTAATTTGATACCAAATTCGATATAAGTAAGTTAAAAAATAAAAAGCTAGGTTAGAAACTATCAAATGTCAAAATTAAATATAATGATTTTTTGATAAATATTGAAATGATCTTAATAAGAATCAAAAATGCTCTCATTTGGTACAAATTCGATATAATTGGGTTAAAAAATGAAAAAGTTAGGTTAGAAACTGTCAAATGTCAAAATTAAATGTAACGATTTTTTGATAAATATTGAAATGATCTTAATAAGAATCAAAGTTGGTTTAATTTGATACCAAACTTGATATAATTGATTTAAAAAATAAAAAAGTTGGATTAGAAACTGTCAAATGTCAAAATTAAATATAACAATTTTTTGATAAATATTGAAATGATCTTAATAAGAATCCAAATTGCTTTAATTTGATACCAAACACGATATGTTTGTGTTAAGAAATAAAAAAGTTAGGTTAGAAACTGTCAAATGTCAAAATTAAAGTAACGATTTTTTGATAAATATTGAAATGATCTTAATAAGAATCAAAAGTGCTTTAATTTGATACCAAATTCGATATAATTGGGTTAAAAAATAAAAAAGTTAGGTTATAACTGTCAAATGTCAAATAATCGCCATTTTTTTTATTAAAAATTAAGATATCTCGATAATGGTTGGAGATAAATAGGTCAAGTTTGGGTTCATTTTAAAAGATTTCTAATTTTCTATCCATTTATGTTAAAAAAAGAACACCGTTATAACTAAAAAATTTTTCTGAATTGATGCTTATTAACATAAATTAACATAAATATGACTACATCCGACTCATCCAAAAAAATTGCTTATGTGAAAAAATGCAATAAGTTGCATGTAACTGATTTTAAAAAGTGCAAAAGTTAGGTTAGAAACTGTCAAATGTCAAAATTAAATATGATTGTATAATTAATATTGAAATAATTTTAATAAGAATCAAAAGTGCTTTAATTTGATACCAAACACGATATATTTGGGTTAAAACATAAAAAAAGTTAGGTTATAAACTGTCAAATGTCAAAATTAAATATAACGATTTTTTGATAAATATTGAAATGATCTAAATAAGAATCAAAAATGCTTTAATTTGATACCAAACTCGATATAATTGGGTTAAAAAATAAAAAAGTTAGGTTATAACTGTCAAATGTCAAATAATCGCCATTTTTTTTAATTAAAAATTAAGATATCTCGATAACGGTTGGAGATAAATAGGTTGAGTTTGGGTTCATTTTAAAGGATTTTTAATTCTCTATCCATTTATTTTTTCTGAATTGATGATGATTAAGAAATAAATACGACTTTATTGATTTAAAAATTGATTATGTGAAAAAAAGCAATAAGTTGCATGTGACGGATCGGCTAGCTTTGTTTTCAATATTAATAATAACCAAAATTGCTTTAATTTGATACCAATCTCGATATAATTAAGTTAAAAAATAAAATGTTAGGTTAGAACCTGTCAAATGTCAAAATTAAATATAACGATTTTATGATTAATATTGAAGTGATATTAATAAGAATCAAAAATGCTCTCATTTGATACCAAATTCGATATAATTGGGTTAAAAAATGAAAAAGTTAGGTTAGAAACTGTCAAATGTCAAAATTAAATATAACGATTTTTTGATAAATATTGAAATGATCTTAATAAGAATCAAAAATGCTTTAATTTGATACCAAACATGATATATTTGGGTTAAAAAATAAAAAAGTTAGGTTATAAGCTGTCAAATGTCAAAATTAAATATAACAATTTTTTGATAAATATTGAAATGATCTTAATAAGAATCAAAAATGCTTTAATTTGATACCAAACACGATATGTTTGTGTTAAGAAATAAAAAAGTTAGGTGAGAAACTGTCAAATGTCAAAATTAAATATAACGATTTTTTGATAAATATAGAAATAATCTTAATAAGAATCAAAAATGCTTTAATTTGATACCAAACTCGATATAATTGGGTTAAAAAATAAAAAAGTTAGGTTATAACTGTCAAATGTCAAATAACCGCCATTTTTTTTAATTAAAAAGTAAGATATCTCGATAACGATTGGAGATAAACAGGTCGAGTTTGGGTTCATTTTAAAGGATTTTTAATTTTCTATCCATTTATGTTAAAAAAAGAACACCGTTATAACTAAAAATTTTTTCTGAATTGATGATTATTAAGAAATACATAAATATGACTACATCCGACTCATTCAAAAAGATTGCTTATGTGAAAAAATGCAATAAGTTGCATGTAACTGATTTTAAAAAGTGTAAAAGTTAGGTTAGAAACTGTCAAATGTCAAAATTAAATATGATTTTATAATTAATATTGAAATAATTTTAATAAGAATCAAAACTGCTTTAATTTGATACCAAACACGATATATTTGGGTTAAAACATAAAAAAAGTTAAGTTATAAACTGTCAAATGTCAAAATTAAATATAACGATTTTTTGATAAACATTGAAATAATCTTAATAAGAAACAAAAGTGTTTTAATTTGAGACCAAACTCGATATAATTGTGTTAAAAAATAAAAAAGTTAGGTTATAACTGTCAAATGTCAAATAATCGCCATTTTTTTTATTAAAAATTAATGATATCTCGATAATGGTTGGAGATAAACAGGTCGAGTTTGGGTTCATTTTAAAGGATTTTCAATTTTCTATCCATTTACGTTAAAAAAAGAACACCATCATAATCAAAAAAATTTCTGAATCGATTCTTATTAAGAAATAAATACAACTTTATTGATTTAAAAATTGGTTATGTGAACAGATTTGAACTTGAAACCCCCACTTTTAGCATTTACGAACGTCTAATTCTTATTAGATTGATTTTTGAGACACGATTTTTTATTTACATCAAAGTCAACTTCAAATTTGGTTAAAAAAAAGCAATTTCAAATAACTTTTCTCTTTAACCCGTTCATTTCTCACTTTCATCTTCTTACAATTTCGATCGTAATTGAAGATGCAACGATTTCAAACAATCCGAGAAAGTGAAGAAAATAACAAATTCGACTACGTCGCTTCGTAGCAAGTCTCATTACGCTCCTAAGGCAAAAAGACGAGAAAAATCACTCGGTGAGGAAGGAAGGATTTAACAAGGAGGTGTCGGAGGTGGTGGAAGAAATTCACCACGTGATGCTGGCGAATCTTAGTTGAGGTTGATATATTTATATTTCCGGGCTCACAAACTGGTGCCATTCGATACTTTGTAACTGGTACCATTAAGATCGAGTGAATTTTTGTGGTGTTTTTGGTGAGTTAATAATTTTAATACAATTAATTCTTAGTTAAAATCTCTCTCGATAAGTAGAACACACTTGAAATGGTTACAAGACATAAATCTTAAATCTCTCTGACCACCATTTCATTTAGTTACCTCATAAACCCAAATTATTGTCGTGTTTATGATTGAACGGGTAATTGTTTAATAATAAACGTTGGTTTCTGGGTCATGCAAGAAAAAAGTAGGTTAATAAATGTGTTTGAAAGTACAAAAAAGTAATTTTTTTTTGACGAAACGAAATTTGTAATAATTATTGTAACATTTTCGCCAAAAAGAGAAAGTTTCGAATTCTTAGCCTTGAACTCTTCAAGAGCAAGGCACAACGAAAACTGTCAATGCCAAAAAGAGAAAGTTAACGATAAAAAGAAACTTGCTGTACAATTTAATTAATTTTAAATAGAAAGTTTCGTTTTTTGAATTTTTATGATTACTCATAAAACGAAATACTAAATAAGAAAATTTTTAATGCTAACCAAATGCTAAAAAATAAACCTAATTGCAAAGTACTTTCCACTTATCAAAATCGTATTAAAGGTTAATTATCGCGCCTAAAACCACTTACCCATGGAATTTTTTAATTTCTAGAAACAATTAAGGCAAGGAACGTTAAAACCCGTCTAAATCGGACGTAAATGTTTATTGAGTTGATAGTCAGCGCAGAATTAACATCTAAAGTAACAAACAAGTTAAATTTTTTTGTGATATAATAAAGTAATAATATCTTTTAGGTGCTTTAGATAACAAAAATGTCTCCGAGCATAATCGCTGGATCCCCGATTTTTATAAACGAAGCGACGAGATCTGCGGAAGATGCAAAATTAACTCAATTTGTTAAGCCGCAAAACCAAGAAGTAAAGCAGAACGCTTATCAGTGGAAAATCGTGTGGAGAAACGTTTTTGCATTTATTTACCTTCATTATGCGGTTCTTCATGGGTTATATTTCGTATTTACAAGAAACGTTTTGCTTACTTTAGGATGGAGTAAGTACTTTTTATAGTTAAAATTAAAATTTTATATCTAAACTGTCAACTAATGATAAAACAAAACGTAGTTATCTGACTTACCGACAACGATCTTTTCTTCGCATTTATTCGTTTTCAAGTTAAATATTGTTATAAATTATACTTAATTTAACAACCCCGAAACCGTTTTATAAAAATTTATTTCACAACTTCAATTTTTAATGATTTTTCGCCGTTTTAAGCAAAATTTGAACTGTCAATTAATAATTGGGACACAACGACATAAAAATTAATAGATCGACTTCTATTTTGGTCGATATTTTTGAGCGATTTCTTTTTATTTATTAATAATAACGATCTCAATTGATTTGTTTAAAAGTAAATTAACAAAGTATGAATTAATTTTATAAATTTAAAAACGAATTAACGACTTAATATTTTTAATAATCCGTAAAATTTTATCTCTATGGTCTTATGCATCAAAAAATAAGTTTTTGACTTATTTTAATTCGAATTTTTTAATAAAATTAGTTAAAACATTTACCTTGTCATTCCTGAAACTGATTTGCACCAAAATTTGGATTCCCCGGGTTAAAAATACCAATAAAATGTTTTAACAAATTTAAATCGCACCTCAAATAATTAAAACTGTCAATTAATAACGTAGTTGTCTGACTTACCGACAATGATTTTTTCTTTTCATTTATTTGTTTTCAAATTAAATTTTGTTATAAATTATACTTAATTTAACAACCCTGAAATCGTTTTATAAAAATTTATTTCACAACTTCAATCTTTAATGATTTCTCGCTGTTTTAAGCAAAATTTAAACTGTCAATTAATAATTGGGACACAACGATATAAGAATTAATAGATCGACTTTTATTTTAGTCGATATTTTTGAGCGATTTCTTTTTATTTGTTAATAATAACGATTTCTATTGATTTGTTTAAAAGTAAATTAACAAGGTATGAATTAATTTTATAAATTTAAAAACGAATTAATGACTTAATTTTTTTAGTAATCCGTAAAATCTTATATCTATGGTCTTATGCATCAAAAAATAAGTTTTTGACTTATTTTAATTCGAATTTTTTAATAAAATTAGTTAAAACACTTACCTTGTCATTCCTGAAACTGATTTGCACCAAAATTTGGATTCGGCGGGTTAAAAATACCAATAAAATGTTTTAACAAATTTAAATCGCACCTCAAATAATTAAAACTGTCAACTAATAACGTAGTTGTCTGACTTACCGACAACGATATTTTCTTCGCATTTATTCGTTTTCAAATTAAATATTGTTATAAATTATACTTAATTTAACAACCCCGAAATCGCTTTATAAAAATTTATTTCACAACTTTAATTTTTAATTATTTTTCGCCGTTTTAAGCAAAATTTGAACTGTCAATTAATAATTGGGACACAACGATATAAGAATTAATAGATCAACTTTTATTTTAGTCGATATTTTTGAGCGATTTCTTTTTATTTATTAACAATAACGATCTCAATTGATTTGTTTAAAAGTAAATTAACAAGATATGAATTAATTTTATAAATTTAAAAACGAATTAATGACTTAATTTTTTTAGCAATCCGTAAAATCTTATATCTATGGTCTTATGCAACAAAAAATAAGTTTTTGACTTATTTTAATTCGAATTTTTTAATAAAATTAGTTAAAACACTTACCTTGTCATTCCTGAAACTGATTTGCACCAAAATTTGGATTCCCCGGGTTAAAAATACCAATAAAATGTTTTAACAAATTTAAATCGCACCTCAAATAATTAAAACTGTCAATTAATAACGTAGTTGTCTGACTTACCGACAATGATTTTTTCTTTTCATTTATTTGTTTTCAAATTAAATTTTGTTATAAATTATACTTAATTTAACAACCCTGAAATCGTTTTATAAAAATTTATTTCACAACTTCAATCTTTAATGATTTCTCGCTGTTTTAAGCAAAATTTAAACTGTCAATTAATAATTGGGACACAACGATATAAGAATTAATAGATCGACTTTTATTTTAGTCGATATTTTTGAGCGATTTCTTTTTATTTGTTAATAATAACGATTTCTATTGATTTGTTTAAAAGTAAATTAACAAGGTATGAATTAATTTTATAAATTTAAAAACGAATTAATGACTTAATTTTTTTAGTAATCCGTAAAATCTTATATCTATGGTCTTATGCATCAAAAAATAAGTTTTTGACTTATTTTAATTCGAATTTTTTAATAAAATTAGTTAAAACACTTACCTTGTCATTCCTGAAACTGATTTGCACCAAAATTTGGATTCCCCGGGTTAAAAATACCAATAAAATGTTTTAACAAATTTAAATCGCACCTCAAATATTGTCTGACTTACCGACAACGATCTTTTCTTCGCATTTATTCGTTTTCAAATTAAATATTGTTATAAATTATACTTAATTTAACAACCCCGAAATTGTTTTATAAAAATTTATTTCACAACTTCAATTTTTAATGATTTCTTCACCGTTTCAAGCAAAATTTGAACTGTCAATTAATAATTGGGACACAACATTGGGACAAAATTCATAGATGGACTTTTATTTTGGTCGATATTTTTGAGCGATTTCGTTTTATTTATTAATAATAACGGTTTTAATTGATTTGTTTAAATGTAAATTAACAATGTATGAATTAATTTTATAAATTTAAAAGCGAATTACCGAGTTAATTTTTTTAGTAATCCGTAAAATCTTATATCTATGGTCTTGAGTATCAAATGAAATAAGTTTTTGAATTATTTTAATTTGATTTTTTAATCAAATTAGTTAAAACATTTACCTTGTCATACTTAAAACTGATTTTCACCAAAATTTTTAATTAAAACCATCAATTAACAAGCAAAACGCAGTTACCTGGCTTACCGATAACGATATTTCCTTTTCATTTGTTTTCAAATTAAATATTGGCGAAAAAACAACAAAAGATAGAATTGCCACCATCAAGTAGTCAAGCAAAACCAATAATTTCAAACGCCGGTCATCACAACCACGTCTAATATCATCAAAATTGGAAACCAGATTGAAAATGAATGTGATGTGGTTTTCCAAGTTCAATTCAGGTAATTTTGATATTTGCGACTCGTGTTGATTAGGAAGACCAACAACTTTAGATAATGATCTGTTAAGGGCAGAAGTGGAAGAAAATGGGTGTCAGAAGAACCTTGGTTGACCATCCAAAAACATTTGTTTGATCCATATCACATGCAACTTAATGCATTTTTTCAAATAACCAATTTATAGATGGATTACTCGGATGAAGTCATATTTATTTCTTGAAAAGCATCAATTCAGAAAATTTTTTTATATATAATGGTGTTCTTTTTTTAACATAAATGAATAGAAAATTAAAAATCTTTTAAAATGAACCCAAACTCGACCTATTTATCTCCAACCGTTATCGAGATATCTTAATTATTAACAAAAAAAATTGCGATTATTTGACATTTGACAGTTACATATAACCTAGCTTTTTCATTTTTTAACCCAAATATATCGTGTTTGGTATCAAATTAAAGCATTTTTGATTCTTATTACGATCATTTCAATATTTATCAAAAAATCGTTACACTTAATTTTGACATTTGACACTTTCTAACCTAACTCTTTTACTATTTAACCCAAATATATCGAGTTTGATATCAAATTAAAGCAATTTTGATTCTTATTAAAATCATTTCAATATTTATCAAAAAGTCGTTACATTTAATTTTGACATTTGACAGTTTCTAACCTAAGTTTTCCATTTTTTAAGATGAGTCACATGCCACTTATACCATTTTTTCACATAACCAATTTTTTTGAATGAGTCGGATGAAGTCATATTTATTTCTTAATAAGCATCAACTCAGAAAAAATTTTTAGTTATAATGGTGTTCTTTTTTTAACGTAAATGAATAGTAAAATTAAAAATCTTTTAAAATGAACCCAAACTCCACCTATTCATCTCCAACCGTTATCGAGATATCTTAATTTTTAACAAAAAAAATGGCGATTATTTGACATTTGACAGTTACATATAACCTAGCTTTTTCATTTTTTAAACCAAATATATCGTGTTTGGTATCAAATTAAAGCATTTTTGATTCTTATTACGATCATTTCAATATTTATCAAAAAATCGTTACATTTAATTTTGACATTTGACATTTTCTAACTTAACTTTTTTATTTTTTAATCCAAACATATCGAGTTTGGTATCAAATTAAAGTATTTTTGTTTTTTGTTAAGATCATTTCAATATTTATCAAAAAATCGTTGCATTTAATTTTGACGTTTGACACTTTCTAATCTAACTTATTTACTTTTTAACCCAAATATATCGTGTTGGGTATCAAATTAAAGCATTTTTGATTCTTATTAAATTCATTTCAATATTTACCAAAAAATCGTTACATTTAATTTTGACATTTGACACTTTCCAACCTATTTTTTTTATTTTTTATCCCAAATATATCGTGTTGGGTATCAAATTAAACCATTTTTGATTCTTATTAAGATCATTGCAATATTTACCAAAAAATCGTTACATTTAATTTTGACATTTGACACTTTCCAACCTATTTTTTTTATTTTTTATCCCAAATATATCGTGTTTGGTATCAAATTAAAGCACTTTGGATTCTTATTACGATCATTTCAATATTTATAAAAAAATCGTTATATTTAATTTTGACATTTGACACTTTCTAACCTAATTTTTTTACTTTTTAACCCAAACATATCGAGTTTGGTATCAAATTAAACCAATTTTGATTCTTATTAAAATCATTTCAATATTAATCAAAAATCATATTTAATTTTGACATTTGACACTTTCTAACTTAACTTTTTTAGTATTTAACCCAAATATATCGAGTTTGGTATCAAATTAAACCATTTTTGATTCTTATTAAGATCATTTCAATATTTATCAAAAAATCGTTACATTTAATTTTGACATTTGACACTTTCTAACCTAACTTTTTTATTTTTTAGAGTTTGGTATCAAATTAAAGCATTTTTGATTCTTATTAAGATCATTTCAATATTTATCAAAAAATCGTTACATTTAATTTTGACATTTGACACTTTCTAACCTAACTTTTTTATTTTTTATCCCAAATATATCGAGTTTGGTATCAAATTAAACCAATTTTGATTCTTATTAAGTTCATTTCAATATTTATCAAAAAATCGTTTCTTTCTAACGTAACTTTTTTATTTTTTAACCCAAATATATCGAGTTTGGTATCAAATTAAAGTATTTTTTTTTATTTTCAGATCTTTTCTTAGCATTTTTAGTCTCCCAAGGTATAACAGCCGGCGCCCACCGATTATGGGCTCACAAAGCCTACAAAGCGAATCTACCTTTACGAATATTATTAGCGTTCTGTTTCACAATTGCTTTTCAAGACGATATTCACCAATGGGCAAGAGACCATCGAACCCATCACAAATTTTGCGACACCGACGCCGACCCGTACAACGCAAAAAGAGGGTTCTTTTTCTCCCACATGGGTTGGTTGATAACCCGGAAACACCCCGAGGTTAAAGCCAAAGCGAAATCGGTCGATATGAGCGATATTTTAGCAGACCCCGTCGTTAGGTTTCAAAGGAAGTATTATTTGATTTTGATGCCGATTTGTTGTTTCGTTATGCCAACGTTGGTTCCTTATTATTTTTGGAACGAATCTTTTGTGGTTGCTTGGAATTTATCGTTAATGAGGTATGCTGTGACTCTTCATGCTACTTGGTTGGTGAATAGCGCGGCGCATATTTATGGGGATAAACCTTTCGATAAGTAAGATTATTTTCTTAACTTATTATATTTAAATTAATTAATTTAAATAATAATTTTTTTAGGAACATTACCCCAAGGGAAAATCGATTCGTTTCAATAATAACTTGCGGCGAAGGTTGGCACAATTATCACCACGTTTTTCCATGGGATTATAAAGCGAGTGAGCTTGGTTTTCAAAAGCTGAACGTAACCGCGGGGATTATTGAGTTTTTTGCACGAATCGGATGGGCTTTCGAATTAAAAACTGTCTCCGAGGATATGGTGAGAAGAAGGGCGAAAAGAACGGGGGATGGAAGTCACGAGGGGGAATATTGGGGATGGGGGGATAAAGATATGTCGAAATGCGAACAAAATGAAATTGTTACGTTTAATAATTTAAAAAAATTTTGATTACATTCAATAACAATTTATAATTTTAATAGTGTTTAGGGTGTTTTTAGAATGATGAGGGTGATATTTGCTTGTATATTTATTTACGAATGTGTGTATTTATTGTATAAATATGCATTACATTTTTTTTAGTATAAATAAGTAACACAAATTAGTTTGTTATGGAGTTATATATTTTATTACCAAAATAAAACGTACTTAAAAAATTTTATTTAAAATCGTTATTAATTAACTAAAATTACTAATTCTTAATTGCTAATAAATATAGAACATACATATACTCAGAGATAATTCCAATTTTGATATTTTGAGGATTCCTGGCTTGATATACAGGATGTTTCGGTTAAACACCCTTTATGGTAAAGCGTTGAAATTTGGTACGGTGTAAACTAATATTAACTAAGAGTAATAAAAGTTTCTAAACTCAATTTACTATTAGAAACTGCAAAAATAAATGTAGAGTTCTGATAGAATAAAAAAATGGTGAGCAAACAAACTTTAGGAACAGCCTGTATAGCATTGTTTCCGCGTAACGATCCAACTCATAAATTGCCTAACGCTTTTACATCACATTGATTTATACTGTACCAAATTCAGCGCTCTACTGTAAATAGTGTTTAAGATATGTGGAAAAATGTGTTAAAATTTCCTAACTTTAAAGACTTTTACTAATTTTTTTTACATGAATCGTCATCATTTTTACACTATGTGGTGTCATTGGTTATGAATTGTGTCATCTTGATCCATTAATGTACATGATTGTCATTTGATATTTTGAGAATTCCTGGCTTGAACCTAAGAAGCGGTGATATCTATGGTGGCATTAACTATGGATTATGTTATCTTGATTCATTACCATCAGTTTTTAACCAAAGCGTTTTGCTCTATCACCTTTAATTTTCTAATTATAACAGAATTTAACGCAGCTGATTATAATCAAGTTTGATATTTTGAGAATTCCTGGCTTGAACCTAAGAAACGGTGATAGCCATGATGGCATTGGTTATGGATTATGTTATCTTGATCCATCATCATCAATTTTTATAGGAAACCCTTTTCTCCATCACATTTAGTTTATTAATCATAACAGAATTTAATGTAGATGATTGTAAATTTTGATATTTTCGGATTTCCTGGTTTGTACATAAAAAATGGAGATAGCTATGGTGGTATTGGTTATGGATTATGTTATCTTGATCCATTACCATCAATTTTTATGGGAAACCTTTTTCTGTATCACTTTTAGTTTATTAATCATAACAGAATTTAATGTAGATGTATATCAAATTTGATATTTTGGGATTTCCTGGTTTGTACATAAGAAATGGAGATAGCCATGGTGGCATTGGTTATGAATTATGTTATCTTGATCCATTATCATCAATTTTTATAGGAAATCTTTTTCTCCATCACTTTTAGTTTATTAATCATAAAAGAATTTAATGTAGATAATTATAAATTTTGATATTTTGGGATTTCCTGGTTTATATATAAGAAATGGAGATAGCCATGGTGGTATTGGTTATGGATTATGTTATCTGGATCTATTATCATCAATTTTTATAGGAAACCTTTTTCTCCATCACTTTTAGGTTATTAATCATAACAGAACTTAATGTAGGTAACTATAAATTTTGATATTTTGAGAATTCCTGGTTTATATATAAAAAATGGAGATAGCCATGGTGGTATTGGTTATGGATTATGTTATCTTGATCCATTACCATCAATTCTTATGGGAAACCTTTTTTTCTATCACTNTTTTTTTTCCCATGGCACACTACAGTATAACGCAAGTAATTTTAAGAGAATGTTAGGAAACTATTTTAATGTTTTTCTATACTACAATTACAATTAATGTTTATGTATTGTACATCAATGGATTCAGAAAAGGAATCTCTATCCAATAGCGTGAAAAAAAACATACCGAGCAATTTGAAAATCAAAAGTTGGTAATCGCTTGAAATTCAAGATGGCGTTGGAAAAAGTTTATTTGTAGCATGAATCATAGTATTCATCAAACTTTTTCATTTGATATTTCGCTCATGAAAATCGGAATTTAAATGACGGAGTTACAGCTTGTGGCATTCTTGTGTGACAACCTATATATACAGGTGTCTTTTCTCTGCTAAAACTACATTTAAAAAGGGATGTATTATACATCAATGGATTCAGAAAGACAATCTCTATCCAATGACGTGAAGTAAAATATACCTCGCAATTTGAAAAACAAAAGTTAGTAATTACTTGAAATTGAAGATGGCGTTGTAAAAAATTTATTTGTAGCATGAATCATAGTATTTATAAAACCATTTTATTTGATACCTGGGTCATGAAAATCGGAATGGAAATAACAGAGTTACAGGTTGGGGCGTTTTTTGTGTGACACCCTGTATAAGAAATGGAGATAGCCATGGTGGTATTGGTTATGGATTATGTTATCTTGATCCATTACCATCAATTTTTATGGGAAACCTTTTTCTCTATCACTTTTAGTTTATTAATCATAAAAGAATTTAATGTAGATAATTATAAATTTTGATATTTTGGGATTTCCTGGTTTATATATAAGAAATGGAGATAGCCGTGGTGGTATTGGTTATGGATTATGTTATCTTGATCGATTACCATCAATTTTTATGGGAAACCTTTTTCTCTATCACATTTAGTTTATTAATCATAACAGAATTTAATGTAGATGATTATAAATTTTGATACTTTGGGATTTCCTGGTTTGTACATAAGAATTGGAGATAGCTATGGTGGTATTAGTTATGGATTATGTTATCTTGATCCATTATCATCAATTTTTATGGGAAACCTTTTTCTCCATCACTTTTAGTTTATTAATCATAACAGAATTTAATGTAGATGATTGTAAATTTTGATATTTTGGGATTTCCTGGTTTGTACATAAGAAATGGAGATAGCTATGGTGGTATTGGTTATGGATTATGTTATCTTGATCCGTTACCATCAATTTCTATAGGAAACGTTTTTCTCTATCACTTTTAGTTTATTAATTATAACAGAATTTAATGTAGATAACAATAAATTTTGATATTTTGGGATTTCCAGGTTTGTACATAAGAAATGGAGATAGCTATGGTGGTATTGGTTATGGATTATGTTATCTTGATCCATTACCATCAATTTCTATAGGAAACGTTTTTCTCTATCACTTTAAGGTTATTAATCATAACAGAACTTAATGTAGATAATTATAAATTTTGATATTTTGGGATTTCCTGGTTTGTACATAAGAAATGGAGATAGCCATGGTGGTATTGGTTACGGATTATGTTATCTTGATCCATTATCATCAATTTTTATGGGATACCTTTTTCTCCATCACTTTTAGTTTATTAATCATAAAAGAATTTAATGTAGATAATTATAAATTTTGATATTTTGGGATTTCCTGGTTTATATATAAGAAATGGAGATAGCCATGGTGGTATTGGTTATCCATTATGTTATCTTGATCCATTACCATCAATTTTCATAGGAAACGTTTTTCTCTATCCCTATTAGTTTATTAATCATATTGGAAATCCCAAAATATCAAAATTGACAATTATCTACATTAAATGATTAAAAAAACTAATAATAATAATATGTATAATAATTTTCTTGATAATGCATCAAAATAACATAATTCATAACCAATACCACCATAGTTATCACCACGATGTTAATAAGAATCAAAAATTCTTTAATTTGATACTAAACACGATATATTTGGGATAAAAAATCAAAAAGTTAGATTATAAACTGTCAAATGTCAAAATTAAATATAACGATTTTTTGATACATATTGAAGTGATCTTAATATGAATCAAAAATGCTTTAATTTGATACCAAACACGATATGTTTGGGATAAAAAGTAAAAAAATTATGTTATAAATTATCAAATGTCAAAGTTAAATACAACGATTTTTTGATAAATATTGAAATAATCTTAATAAGAATCAAGAATGCTTTAATTTGATACCAAACACGATATATTTGGGTTATAAAGCAAAAAAGTTAGGTTAGAAACTGTCAAATGTCAAAATTAAATATAACGATTTTTTGATAAATATTGAAGTGATCTTAATAAGAATCAAAAATACTTTAATTTGATACAAAACACGATATATTTGGGTTAAAAAATAAAAAAGCTAGGTTATAACTGTCAAATGTCAAATAATCGCCTTTTTTTTATTAAAAATTAAGATACATATCTCGATAACGGTTGGAGATAAACAGGTCGAGTTTGGGTTCATTTCAAAGGATTTTTAATTTTCTATACACTTATGTTAAAAAAAGAACACCATTATAACTAAAAATTTTTTCTGAATTGATGCTTATTAAGAAATAAATATGAGTTCATCCGACTAATCCAAAAAAATTACTTATTTAAAAAACTGCGATAAATTGCATGTGACTCATCTTAAAAAATTAAAAAGTTAGGTTAGAAACTGTCAAATGTCAAAATTAATTATAACGAACTTTTGATAAATGTTGAAATGATGTTAATAAGAATCAAAAATGGTTTAATTTGATACCGATATATTTGGGTAAAAAAAATAAAAAAGCTAGGTTATATGACAACTGTCAAATGTCAAAAAATCGCCATTTTTTTTTGTTAAAAATTAAGACATCGCGATAACGATTGGAGATAGATAGGTCAAGTTTGGGTTCGTTTTAAAGGATTTCTGATTTTCTATCCATTTATGTTAAAAAAGGAACACCTTATTAAGATAAGGTTCTTCTGACACCCATTTTCTTCCACTTCTGCCCATAACAGATCATTATTTAAAGTTATTGGTCTTCTTAATCAACACGAGTCGCAAATATCAAAATTACCGGAATTGAACTTGGAAAACCACACTTCATTTTCAATCTGGTTTCCAATTTTGATGAAATTAGACGTGGTTGTGATGACCGGCGTTTGAAATTATTGGTTTTGCTTGACTACAGCAGTGATTTGATTCTGTTGATCATAGCTTGATGGTGGCAATTCTATCTTCTGTTGTTTTTTCGCCAATATTTAATTTGAAAACAAATAAATGAAAAGAAAATATCTTTGTCGGTAAAGCAGATAACTACGTTTTGCTAGTTAATTGATAGTTTTAATTAAAAATTTTGGTGAAAATCAGTTTCAAGGATGACAAGGTAAATGTTTTAACCAATTTGATTAAAAAATCAAATAAAAA